ACCTTCTTCTCTACAGCGTACGGGACATGCTTGACGACAGGCACGTGGACGGGGTAAGGTTTGTCCACAGCCACTTTTACAGGGTACGGCACGTGCTTCTCCACCGTGTAAGGTACTTTCTTCTCGACTACCACGGGGTAAGGTTTAGGGACGTGGACGGGGTACGGCTTGTCGACGGGCACCTCGACCGGGTACGGCTCCTTCTTGTAGACCGTGTACGGCTGCGGGACGTACTCCTTGACCGTGTACGGCACTTTCTTCTCGACATAGACGGGGTACGGCTTGGGCACGTGGACCGGGTACGGTTTATCTACTGGCACCTCCACGGTGTAAGGCACTTTCTTCTCGACGGTGACAGGGTACGGCACAGGCACCTTCTTGGTCACCGTGATGGCTTTGACGTGCTCGTGATGATGTTGGACGTGGTGATGGAAGTGTTCGGCGGAGGCTAGCGTCAGAAGACACAGTGTTGCCAGTAGAGCGACCATCCTTGCTGTGTGCTCTGGCAGTGCGTGTGTTGGATTATATACTAGCTTATTACTATATATCGCAAGGTATGCTCACATAACCACGGATGTTATACGGTCATATAACCATCATGTTATATGCTCTGATGAAATGGTTTCCATGTAATTAGTGGAAGCAACGCACTCTTGCACATGGGCGTGTGCGTTTTAGGATAATAAAATTCTACTAGAATTAATAGTTAGAATTACTTATTTATGATAACTTTGTAATACTCATTCTAATTTTAAAAAGTTTGATTCCTTCTAATCTTAATAACTACTGATACTAATAATTATACCTAAGAGGATTTGGAAGCAATCGGATTGTCAGTAGGACCAACCAAATAAATACCCCTCCCAAAGCAAACCTGCAGTCTAAGCGCACTAAACGGCATTATAATTTTTTTATATAACTTCGAAAGAAAATTTGTATAATTATCAAATACTATTATATTTATACTCAAGGGCACAAAACAGGAACACATGTGAGCCTATTTTACATTGTGGATGGATAGGAAGCTTTAGAATATTTTGCTTTGTGAATTATTAAAAAATAACAATTATAAAAAAATAAGTGACCATCGATTTTAAAATCTTAAAGGCAATTTTTTTCATTTAATATTGAACCTATGCACTAGTTAACGTCTATCTATGACTTAACAATGTGGTATATCACAAAAAACAACATTTTTATCGTGTTTTTTGTGCTATGGATTTTAAATTTGTATTTGTATGTTTTTATTCAATACTGTCCTTAGAAAATACATAAATATTCCAAAGCTGAATTGTTAAAGCAATATGTAGCGTTACCTATCCGCGTGAGTTATTGTATAGCCACATGACAGGTTCCAAATTAACTGCCTACTGTTGTCATCCTCTCATTGCAAACCATTTTTCTCCTGGAAATTCACTATTTGGGCCTTAGATACAATTGAGAGAAAATATCCATTACAGGATAAATAGATTCAAAAACCCCCATTGGGCGTGCTATGTTCGATTAGTTAGAGCATAAATAACCTATAAAAGCTAGATTTGCAGTTAAAGAACACATTTACATTTTGTTTATATACTAAGAAAATAATAGTGTGACTGATGATTCAGTTGACTATCATCATAAAAATCCATATTTAAGCTGTCAATGATGAAAACAATATAAATAATTAATAAATGTGCATTATAAGCATGCAAAATATTTCAGAAGAGTATTTTTGCTCGTGTTTGCGTATCTGAAGGTTTGTAGTTTTATTCTAAGCAGGATCAATTGGTCCAGATACCAATTGTCATTAAACTTATAACTGATTAAGCTATTTAAATAAAACCATAACAAAATTTGAAATAAAGATACATCAAAGCTAGTTTACATAACCAAGATATTTTTAGAATCTTGGTAATAATTTGATAATTTATGGGTATATTTTGAAGAAAAAAATAGTTTTATATATGTCTATTAAAAGATTACAAATACTACGTAGGGTGTCAAAATTCATACGTTCAGAATTCACTTTTCAAACAAATACAAGTGAAGCAACTGTTTTTTTTTCATATTTTGACAAATACTTTGAATTCTCCAGCAACCTTTGCTTACAACTCCTACAGGAGAGGTTCAGTAACGAAGTGAGGGTCATTTAATGCGGAGGAAATAATGACCGTCCAAAGCGGCAACTTTTTGCCATCGTTACTCACCGAGAAACATTTATCTCTTTTTTGTCTTTCTTCTTGTTCTTGTTATTAGGGGAATTATCGTCCATTTAATTTGCCGTTACTATATGAAAACCATTCGCACAGCAAAGGAGTCAGGATGTATTAAGACCAAGTTAATTTTTCAAAAAATGTACGAAGGTGTATTTCTTTTATTGTGTAACCGTAACGGTTAAAATGTTGGTCAATACGCCCCAGTCTTTATTTCAGGGCTCCAATATGTATGTAGGAGTTTTAGACTCTAACACCTGAAAGCTCAAATATCGACTTCTGTTTTAATTTTTAAATGTGGAAATTATTAGAAGACCACTTTAAGATGTCCTATTGTCAAGAAAAGTAAAGACATGCATCTCTTTAGCGAGGGTGTCTGAATTGGATAATCGCTCCCGACGAAACAAACAATCTCAATAGTTAAAATTTCAACTGTAGGTTTTAATATGAGACCTACAGGTTGTCCCGGAACTCTCGACCAATATTTTAGGGCATTGTTTCTGAGTAAGAAACATATCTAAATATCATATATAAACTGTTCGGAAGTCTTTAGATACTCAGCCGACATTTGGTTTTTTTTCGCTGGTTAATTATTTTTCTAAAAAGTGGTTTAAGACACAAAATAGAAACTTTGCACAAACATTTATGACAACTATACAAAGCTACAAAAAATTATGACGTTTCTTAAACTAATAAAACAAAATGGCGGCTATTTTCTTAAAAAACTCAAAAACCGTTATTTTACAAATATTTTAAATGGTCACAATTTAAAAATTTGTCATAATTTTTTATTAGCTTTGTCTGGTTGTCATACATGTCTGGGCAAAGTTTTAATTCCGTATCTCACTTTATAGAAAATAAATTATAAGTGAAAAACAAAATGGCGGTTGAGTGAGCAACTACTAAGTAATTCTGGTCAATTTAAAAATGATATTTAGATAGTTTTCTTACTCAGGAACAGTGTCCAAAAGTATTGGTAGAGAGTTCCGCGACACCCAGTATATTTGTTATAGGATATTTATGTAAATAACTTCTGAACTATAAATTAAATAAAAACGTATCAGAAATTAGCGATTACTAGAAATTAGCGAAAACATGAATACATTTTTCCTACAATGTTTTCTTTTATTAGAGTTAGTAATATCTTAAATACCTTCATGATCAGCATTGCACGTGTTATTAAATCATTAATTGTATTGATAAAAAAACTAAATATACGCCTTATAACACTTAAAACATATATTTACATTTATACTGTTAAGTTTAAAGACGGTAAACACATATACAAGATGGTAAGTGGTGACTCATTTCGGTTGGACACTCCAGTCATCATCAGGCCCGATTGACCGATGGTAATAAGGGCTGGTAATTTATTAATTCATAATGAGTACTTCTCAAGAACAATAAGGTTATTATTTCGTTGGTCAGATCAGCAGATTAAACCACCCCCAGCAGCTGTCTACTGAAGGAATTATTTACTTGAAACCCCTTAAATAACTTATGTAAGAAGCTTTGACTCCCTAGAGTATGTTGTTCCTGTTGAAATATTCTCAACTGATTTTAATGGAACTTTTACTTTGTTTATAAAGACTTTTAAAGTGTTACCTTAACGTTTCTCGGAATTTCAATCTAAACAGAACAGAATTCAGACTCTTGTCTTTCACAATAATCGAATTTGAAAGGGTTTAAATCATTTATAGTAAAAATACCCCCGCTGCAGCAAACCTGCCGACTAAGCGAATTTCCATTTGTCTGAATTGATTTGCAGTTAAATATATTTTAATAACATTAGGTTTAGCGAGTACCTAGGTTTGCTGCTACAAGGAAACTAATAAAGTGTGTTTTTGAGTAAAATATTGATAGCTTAGTACAAAATAAATAAATTTGACAAGTTTGATCAAAATATATTCATAAACAAGCAAACTACAACATTTGACAATATTCTCCATAAGAATAACATGGGAATTTTAAATTTACAATTTTTTTAATGTTCTCCGTTACTAATAATCGAACAAAAATACTTTTATATACTAAATTATTTGTTTTTTTAAGCTCATTAAAAAGGTCTAAAGAGAAATTGGGAAATTTTGTGTTTTGAGGGTCAAAAGTGAGAAAAACCAATTTTTACCCCATAAAACCCCCCGTAAAGCCCCGTTCCCATGGTCCGATCGTGCTGGTTCGCGAACTCATTCAAGTTTATAACGCTTTACACCTTTAAACCAAATTTCATCAAAATCGGACAAAAATTACTCAAGTTATCGCGTTCACGGACGTATATATATATATATATATATATAAGTCTATATATATATATATATATATATATATACATATATAAAAATTTGAAAGAATAGTGTTTTTGGCCTCTGGGGACATCAAAATGAAAAAGTAAATCGGTCCCGGGTCTAGGTCTTACCGTGCCACCTACGGTAATAGCTACTTCCCTATAGGGAAATTCGCTAAAATGGAATTGATTTGTCTTTAAAACATAATTGAATACATGATAGCTTTAATGTCAAAACAATTGTTGATCTAAAGATAGAAATGAAAACTAGTTTAATGAGAAAATTGTATATACGCACGGGGGTTGGTTGTATTCCCAATCTATAACTCTCTTCCATTAAGTAAATATTTTTTATTTAACCATTAGGCATCCTCGTTTTTAAACATTACACTGCTGTCATTCTTTGTTTGCTAAAAATACATATATAGGCTCCTCTCCTCATATTTTGACACCAAAAAACATGTATTGAAACCATTTGTAGACAAGGTTGGCTGAACATTAAATCAGTTCTAACAACACACATGAGTCAGTCACACAAGTTTCCATGTCACACTCGTTGTTCACTGTAAAAAAAGACTACGGTTAACTAAGGGACCAGATTTATGCTAATGTTTTTCCTTGATGTCGTACTCAATTTTCAATGTTCAACATATTTGTTCTAAACTATCTTCAATACACGTACTGGTACCTACTTATCTAGAATTTGACATGATATTTCCTGTCGAAATGATACAGTGATTATAGGCTGACCGCTGTTAACCTGTCAATGTGGAATCTGTTCTGTCTATGATATTATTCTATCAAAATGTTAAGACAAACATTAGTCTTAAATAAGATTACTGTTAAGAGTAGTGTTAAATAAGGGTACTATCAAACTCATATAGACAACTAAATAGTCACCTATATCATAAGACAGTATTGTAAGTTTTTATAGAATTTTATTTTTTCAGATTGTGTCCACGTACAACTCTACCGCGACAGCAAGGACCGATACAACAATGGTCAGACAAAGGCGTCTCTATCGTTACAATACTTCCTTGCTGTACAGTCAGGTGAGTTGGTGATGAAAATGACCTTGGGTCAGAAAGAGACGGAATAGGCACACGGAAGGGACTAAGGCTAAAGGTGTAGTGACGTCATCTCTAGTGGCTAATGTCTTCTCTTGAGGCGACACGATTACCGTAACGAAACAATGTGATTTCAGCGGCGTTCGTGGCATAGTTGATAGCGTTTCGGATTGGTGTTCAGGAGGTCCCGGGGTCGAATCCCGCTAGTAGCATTAACTTTTTGTCAACAAATTTTTCATATCAGCAAGTTTGGTTGGTTAGGTTAGGTTATGACAGTTAAATTTTATAATACTAAATTCTAAAATTAATTTTATAATTAATTAAAAATTATAAGTAATTATTAATTATATTTTTATATTATCAGGAAGTCTGGTTGGTTAGGTTATGTTATGACAGTTTAATTTTAAAAATTAAAAATTAATTTTATAATTTGAAACAATATTTTATAGTTAAAAAGTTCATTTTATAACTAAAAATTAAAAAAAAATATTTTAAATTATTTCAACTTAGCAGTTCTAGCGGCGAACGCTGACACTACAAGATATGTTAGCCTTAGTCCCTCCCGTGTGCCCCACCGAGAAAGAGACTGCTTGGAAATATCAACACAGAGTACTAATGCACACGCACAAGTTATGCTTATCGAGTAAATGCACTGCCAAAGAGTAATACTCTCATTTAAGGATTTAAAAATATATTTTTAAACACACCACAGTCAAATCAGTGTTAGCGAATCTTTGTTTTTGACAGTAATATAATTTGCTGTTTAAAGACATGTACAATCTGAACAAAAGTGTAACTCAGCATGCAAACTATTCATTTAATATTTATTGAGCCATAGCTTTACAGTTCGAAAAAAAAAACAATTTCTTTGTTTACGTTACATAAATCAAAATATAGTTTTAAAAAAACATTTGTTGATAGATTTCCCTTTTAACATGACGATACTTTGTATCACTGCGCAAACTTTGGATCTTTACTGAAACATATTTATTTGTTTTGCATATTTGGTTTATTGTGCCAATGGCTTTTACGACTGTACGTCATTCCAGCAGCAATTCATTACATATATTTTGACAAGTACTGTACTATAAATCATTACGAATTATTATCAATTTAGCTACACAGCCCAAAATATTTATGTTTACTTATTGTAATCATAACTCCTATCTATGTCAGTAGAGCACACTTTTTTACCTTGAATAGTGGAAATACTTAAAAATTACATATCTATAATCTTACTGTTTCATTATTGATGATTAATCTTAAAGGGTGAAACCTGAAATAATTGCTATAAAATGTATTTTACTGTGAAGGTTTCACCCTGGACAAAGAGTCTAACACAATAGCAATCATCTGTGAGGACGTGACTGTTATATTCGCCTTCGACACCCGAGAACAGCTGATTCAGTGGCAGGCGAAAATAGCCATCAACCTGGGGGAGGGTGAGTATGTAAGATAGCGTTAAATTGTTATAAAGGTACCATACATAGATAATAGGATTTAGAATTAGTTCTACCCCATTTTATAATTCTTCTCTTTAGTCTGGTCTGTCCAGGGGCTGAAATGGGGGTTTTTAAACATTATAAGATAAGTGCTTTTATAACACAAATTAATACTTCTGTAATAGTGGCTTGGTCAAAATAGTTGAGTACGTTAATGAGCCAATGTATTATTGGTTAGTAAATTGTAACTACTTGGATTTAATGACTAACTTATGAAATGGCAGTATGGAAAGCAACAAATACTTACCCGTAACATTGCTTAAAAGTTTTTAAAATTCAAGAAGCAACATTTAAAGATTATTAAATTTAAATTACTGTAAATTAATTCACAGACCACTGTTATATTTCAAGTGGGTTACGATTTCTTAAACATCAAGGTACCTGCCACAAAATGTGTACAAAATATGTGCTTGACCACTCTGCCACATGGATTGTTGTGTCACCAAACAATCCAAAAATCTATTTTTAAGAAAACTCATTTTTGCTTGAAACCCACTAACAAATTTAATCGACCATCCTCAGCACATAATTTTCAGATGAGGTTGGAAGGTGTTAAAGTTAATTTATAGCACTGAAATTAATGCAAATATGTGTAATTTTAACATGTAGACGAGCAGTTCCTGGTGCAGATCTCATCAGCGCCTCCTAGAAGTAAGCTGACTCCTGGTCCTGCGAGACTGCATGTGCTGGAGAGAAGGTTCTGTCTAACAGCTGGAGTCCCTCCTAGACTGCTTGGCCACTGGCAGATCGCCCAGCTGAGGTAGGTTCAGCTGAGAACGGAGAGGTTGGTTATGAGTAAATTAGCAATTAGTTGCTCCTCACTTGTCATAAATGGTTGAGTGTTATCATTTCAATAGAAAGTTAGCCGTTTAAACCAGACATGACTATTCTTGTTCTTGAGTACATAGGTTTATAGCATTAATATCCAATAACATAATGATGTCTGGGTCTAGCAAATACTCTACTTGTAGTGATTTGTCCACTTATAAAATCTTGCACTGTTTAAATCTGCACGAGTGATTCATTTTACTGACGAAACCCCCTTTCATATTGTACATCAATTGAATTAAAAGTCCCATTTTTTTAGAGGTTGGCGGCCTCTTTCAACCTTGCATTTACCCATCCACATAGACTTTTGTCTACCTACTGTCACATAGACTGTGTGTGCAGATTTGAACAATGCAAGATTTTATAAGTGGACAAATCGCTACAAGTAGAGTATTTGCTTGACCCAGACATCATTATGTTATCGGGTATATTAATGCTATCACCCTATTTAATATTTAAAGTCAGTGGACTTTACAGTTTCATACTCAATAAATTAATTAATATCAATATTTAATAATTAATTGAGTGGCTGGGGAGGAAGTTTTAAATAGGTTAATAGCATCAATAATTATCAATAGCAATAATTATTAGCTATTGATTGCTAACCATGACATAAATAATTATTACCTCATAATAGCCATCAATAATATGGCATTAATAAATCTATCGTAGGCTTATACATATACAATACTACAAATATAGAACTATTTATTGTATTTTTGCGTTACAGAAAGTACGGTGTGGTCAACGGACGGTTCTGTTTCGAGGGTGGGTCTCAATGTGGAAGAGGTGAAGGTCTGCATGTTCTGCTGACTGACAGAGGCAATGACGTCAGCAGGTCCTTCAGCAATGCCGCGCAGGGAAACACCCCTCTAGCCCGGCGTGCCTACCTACACGGTACACCCTATAACTCTTCTCTATCAATAGTTCTTAAAAGTATTACGTTAACAATAAATATTAGAAGTAAGACATAGATTTAGTAACTGAAAGAAAGCTAAGTTCCTATGTAGTATAACTGGTAGTTTACTGTCGTATCTGTACATTGGAGGATTATGGTTAAGTAATTTTAACTCAAGTAAATTTTAGCCATGTGTATATCAACATACACATACAATGGAAAACTTTTTGGGAGGATATTTTCTGTATTGTGTTCTTTTCCTGTCCTATGCAAAATAATGTTACGTATTCCAACCGATTCATCGCAGTTATTTTGAGTGGTTAAGCAGGAATTTCGAATAGTTTAAATTAATATTATTGCAAAGTATAAAAGCTAAGATTTAAATGTTTAAACACCATGAAATATTAACCGAAAGTTAAATGTTAAGGCAACCAAATAAAAATAATCAAATTGAATGTCGATTGATCAACCCCACACAAGTGTATGTACGTACAGCAACTCTATGCACCTATACTATGGCCACTTTTCTGTCCTACTGGTAAACATTTCAGATTGTAACCGTAAACGGTTTCCTTTGTCTTATCGGAAGTTTTACAAGAGATCTGACTCTTAGATAAAGCTTGATACTTATTTGCCCAGTGGCTGTCTTGACCCAATGTTGTTTATTTGTTGACAGTCGGAGAGAGGTCCATCAGCAGCAGCAGGACAGAGGCTAACCTGTGCGAACAACTCACCGACTGTCGCTCCAGGAGTCAGGAGAACCTCTGCTGGACTCCTCCGGGGGACTGTGGTGGCTGGGAGTCTTCGGGGTTGTGTCACAGGGTGAGTCTTACAGGGGTATAACTGCAACATAACTCATAAGCCGTGCGTGTCTATAAGCCGTCAATAATATATCATAATATGTTTTGGAAAAAACAACATACAGCGACTTTTATTGCAAAATAAATAATTTATTGATTAAATAAATTGCGTTTCTATGCGCAACGCATTTCTATGCGTTGGTGTTTCTACACTGCCAAACTAAAATTGGATGTACTGTAGTAATTTTAGTTAATAAAACAAGCACCAGATCTATGGTGTATTATTCAATGTAAAGTACTCTAACTGGAGTCCTTAACTGCAAATGATAAGGTAAATCTGCCAAGAATAATAGTAACAACCAAGAAGCGTATAGTTAAAGCAGTCATGCAATTTTCAATATTTATTTAAAGAATAATATCGAATAAAAAAACATAATTTAAATAAGAACGATACTCATACGTATTTTGATTTATATTCTAACACTGAACAAAATTAATCATAATGCTTTTTATACTGTTGATTGTGAATTCTGTATTCTTGGTTTTTATTTTCAATCATAACGTTTTTACTATTGTTATAAGATTTACAGTAGTTTTTTCACTAGGTATGAAAGGTTTTATTTTCATTTAAGACATTACACTAGTTCTGTATACTTGTTGTCCTAGGAGGGCACAGTGAGCAGGCCCCGCTGTAGAAGCTGTCATGTCCGAATCTCTAGATCCTCGACCGTCACTTGCGCCCCAGGGACCGGCTTCACTTGGACCATGGAGTCATGTATGTTCCATCGAGAAACGTACTATTGTGCTCATCAAATAATCGAAATGTCACTCGTTCAATTCCGACAAATGTCAAAAGTATTTTGATGGTTTGGAACTGGGCACAGATGTCCGGCTCATTGAGAAAATGGCCCTCGGTATAAAGAAATTGATATCTTAAGGCAGCAACGAAGCCAAACAAGGCATCTCCACTCTATACCCGCATTCTCAATTCATAGTTGTGTTGAAATATGATATTAATAATAAGAATAAAATTACAGGTTGATCCAAGATGCATATTTCAATGTTTGAACAATGCAAAAATGCCAAAATAACGGGTTTAAGTTTCCAACCACTGTAGTTTGCTGCACTAGGTGGAACGAATTAAGATCAATTTTGACTGGTATATATTCCATGAAGTTCCCACTTCGAAATAAACTTGCTAAATCATGTTTACGACATTTAGTTTAGTAATTATCAGAATCTTTTGTTTACCCAAAACGTTATGAGCAAACATTTACTAAGATCGTAGGCCTATTTTCATTAATTTACTAACACATTGGTAATAGCAGTATTTACCGGTGACTATACACTAAAGGACTAAGTAATACCGGGCGTTTATAAAAGAATCACCAGGCTTTAAAACATTTTAGTGACGCTAATGTTAAACAAATACGGTCATAAAACATATCAACATTAAGGAGAATTCTTAAATTTTTCATAGATACCCCTACATCTTGTCAATATGCCGTCCATTAGCCGTGGAGCAAGTTTCCAATCTATGCTGTAAATTGTCCTATGCCCTGGCTAGCATCGCTAGGTTGATTGATTCTACACAACATTGCGAATTCGCCCACGGAGCTCTTGAAGGGTTTGAGGCATTGGCGGTTTATAAACTAAGTCATTTACAAAGCCCCAGTAATTATCGTTACATTTGCCAATCCACCTCAGTTTGTAAGAGAACTCTTGCGCGGCCACTGATTTTACTTTTTAATACACTTCCAGGGTTCTTAAACTGGCGATACCACCTTAAAATGCTTTGTTGTGTAGGAGGAGTCCGTCTAAAATGCCCCCGAAACTCACACTGGGCAGTTATTAAAGATAAACTTGAGTCATAATGAAAAACACAAAATGTTTTTTTTTCTGGAATTTTAATCATTTTGAAAATGATGGAAACACGTCCAAGAAAAAAACCAAGACACTATTGAACAGCTGATTATAAAACTTGGAATCATGCCATTAAAACCCGATGATTCTTTTATAAACGCCCTGTATTTAATTATATTTTAAGCTGTTTTCTGACTAATAATAGCAATATTCAAGTAATAGCAATGCACCTCTCTTTAGTATGATAACTATTAGGCAGCTTGCATTCTATAAATTCCGCTACTGTCTTTATCAACGAAATTTTCAGCAAACTTTTTTTATCCAAATCAAACCTTTTTATCTGATGAGTTCATGAAAGGTTTTTCAGTTATGCATGAAATATCGGGGTATTAATCAAAATGACTGAAATATATGAGCCTGTATAAATCAGCATATAATATTCATCCAAGCGGCAAAAATTGCATAACTAAGTGGAATATTCATTGAATTGAAATCAGCGAGGCAGTATCAGCCGATCTGTGGGATGTGCTGCTGCTGATATCAAACCAGGACGCTGCTTTGGCTGATTTGCATTTTTGTAACCAGAGAACTGTATTTATCTTTAACCTAAACAAACAACATTCAAAATGTTAAATGTGTGACCAGCTCTTACAAAGTTTCATAATAAATGGAAATGTGTTTGTTAGGGATTGACACTTAATTTTTACTCTGCATCCATTTTAGTATCTAATGATTTTAAATTCTATTAGATTAGGTAGGTAATTTCTTTACTCGTCCAATGCCATTAATCGTTTGATTTTATTTTTCAGGTGGCATCGGACAATCCATTGCAAAGTCTCCAAGTTGTCAAGATTCGCGACAGACTTCAACGTTGGCAACTATCTGGTAGGATCATAAATTTGGCTATCGAACTAAGCAAATTTTCTTCACTTGGAAAAGAAACACTCAAAACTAGAAATTGGTTTGATTACAGCACTTTTAAAAATATGCATTCCTATGTACATCGTAAAAAAGGAAAATGTTATGTGCGAAGTAAAATAATTAGTAAAATAGTCAAACTCATTACCTTAACGGACATAACGGGCATTACAGTTACCTTAATTTTTATACATAATTTTTTATATGCTGTCCGGCTCTGGCATTAGAATAGACCGCAGTACCCCCTGCTCGTCGTAAGAGTCGACTAAAAGGGGGGGGGGGAGCGCAACAATTCTTTTAGCGTCTCATCGGCATACCAACATTTCCGGTTTAAAATCAATAGACAATTTTTTTCCCCAAATCACTTTGGTCTATTGTTGTGTATGACTCCGTGTCCTTCTTTCCCCGATGCGTTGGACGTCCGTTCAGGTAGAGGGTGCAGCTTAAAAACTGGGTCTTTCTTGCACATCCCAGGCTGCCCTATCATCCGGCGAAAATCTCTTTGGCCGTAGTAGTGCCGAATGGCGACCGGATAGAGGGCCCTGCTGCGCCTTTGGGGGGGCTCTGCCGAGACCACTGCCTTTTCTGGAACGTTCTGGGTTTTGGGCAGGGCATGGAGTATAGCCGTGCATGAGGTGAACCAGGGTGACATTCTCACGAGGTCACAGCATAGGGGGGAAGATTTTGAAAATATGGCAGAAAACAAGCAAAAAGAAAACGTTTCAATTATGCAAGAAAAAACTTCGGGTTCCCTAACCCAAAAAAGAGGCAGAAACGACACCTGAAGTGGACTTCGACCCGTTTAGGAGGAGCTCACGTTTGAGTCGCTCCCCTGTTCGCGCCCGTCCTTTCACTCCCAGTTCCAATTCATCGCCTCTCTCGGAAACTCTGCCAGAGCAGGGTAGTGAGAAAACGGCCTCGCCATACGAGGCCGTGATTAGTACTGTAGAAAGCACCAGCCAAGCGGGAAAATCCCTTTGTAAAACGCAAACTATATGGAAGTAAAAAAATCGAAAAACTCTATAAGAAAAAATCAATAATTGATTTGTAGTTATCTTAATTGTACCAACCCCTTTACAATAATCCCTTGAATAACATGAGTTTTGTTGGAATTTGTATTTTAGGTGGCCAGAGACATAATCAGCAGCATGGCATACGATAAATCTTTGACAGAAAAGTCATGATCTCACGTCCTGACCCATCACTAAATCAAAACAGTTTACATCAATTTACCGGCTCGTCATATGATTTTTTGTTACATTCTACAATTAGACCCGATGCCTATGGGGAAGGTCATAATACAAAATGAAATTTCAATTATTCATCATTTCCAGGGATCCTTCCAGCCCAGGTCGGCCTCCACCACGGCCTCCGAAGACCAAACCTCCTACAGCCCCGGAGGATCTTCCAGCCAGCCTCAAGAGACCAAGGCCGTCCCCATCAATGCCTGTTATTGGCCTTGGGCGATGTGACTGCGATAGCACTAACTTGGTAGGGTTATTTGCATTTTCATAGATATTTTGCAAATATATTTTTTTTGCAGAATCAATTTTTCTAGCAATCTTTATTGCATTTATGTTATTCACTGTTAATTATTACAAAGGCCTACGTACAAAAACTGAATTTTGGTTATTGTGAAGTATCCAATGTGGACATGTATCCAATTTTGTACTTAAAATCACTTACAGAACGTTTTATAGTCCTGATTCTATTCTCTATATAAATGTTTTTGGAGAGGTAAAGAATTGAAAGAAATCAGTAATTTAAATCAGTGTTTTCTGTCGGTGGCTCTACTAAAATGAAATGCTGACATTCCAACATATAAATGGCATAACTCATTTGTCTGTGTTTAAAGGTACTACCTAATTAAGAGGCACATGTAGTTTTTTATTAACTGAATTTAGGTTTAAAACTAAACTTTTAATGTCTTCAAGATAGACTTATAGAAAAATGTAATTAGTGGTATGACACTGGAATAATAGTGTGCATGTTTTCTTTCAATGCTGCACAAAATTTAAAAGATGTATAAATGATATATACCTATATTTTATAGATGTATATCTGAATATTAGATATATTTAAAACACTATCAGAAAAATTTACACTTATAACTTAACAGTAAAGTTTAAATATGTTGAATAGTGTTGAAAGATGTATTTTTCTAATGTATTCCTATGATTGTCGTAACGTGGGAAAATATTTAAATAGAGAAATTATTTAAATTGAGATTTACCCATTTTAGGAAATTTTGGTTAAGATTTATCACTTTTTCAGGTAGAAGAATATTATGACACACCACGCAGTTTCAAGAGCACTATCCTTGAGGAGCCTGAGAGGTAATATAGAAAGATTCTATTTTCAATGTGATTTTAATTTTCTCTATCATAGCTTGATGCTTGTAATTTTTTTACCGTTTGGGAACGCGCGGCGGAGACTTTCAATGCTGTTATAAAGTCCGATTATATTTCATGAGAGATTTAACTTTCAAATAAATTATTGATTTTTAATTAAAGTTTATTAATAATATAATTTAACCCAATAATACACCGTACTCGTATTAATGTTAATCTTTGAAAAAGAAATGTTGGATATATTAATAGAGCATTTTAAACTAGCATTAACATTAGTAAAACATTCATTAATCTTTCGATTCCTCAACTCTTAAAAGCGTTACATTAATATCAATATCAATTACAACCATTGAGTTGGGGACGCCATTAGGTGCATATTGTGACCCAAATACGAGTGAAGGATATGCGTATTGTAGAATGGTGTGAGACGATCTTTGTACTTTTGTTACTTACTATGATCAGGCTTTTAATTAGTCAAATCATTTATTCAAAGTCATACGATCAGGAACAGCTAGGTCAAATATGAAATGGGTTTACAGGTATGCATTTAAACATTTAAACATATCCTATTAGTTAGCTTTATCTTTTAACAAACTTGTTTTGTTTTACAGATCAAATACTAACTCTCATTGCGTAGACAAAACCGTCTGCAATTGTCAAGCCAACGCAAACACAGGAATAAGTCAATCTTTCTCCGTAAACCAGGTAAAAGGCATTGAGCAAACTCACTTATACTATCTGTGAGAGATTCATTTAGTCACAATGCCAATATTGTTATTTTGAACTGTCATGTTGATTTCTTACACTTATCGTGGTAATATTGAAAGCTATTTAATTTATCAGTTTGTGGAATATAAATTAAAATAACTAATTGTAATCAATAAAAAACCCATTCAAATTATTGTAAATTTCTAGTGCACCACTTTATTATGATTTAATGATGTAACGATATTTTTATAAAACAATTATTCGAATTAAATATAAATATATTTTGAGTCAGCAACGCTAACACATTTTTTTATATTTTTATTTCCGAATTGACTCTCTGGTAATGCCAACCGTAGTCAAACCATGTTTTACTTTTAATTCCAACAAAATGGCATTACCATTGATTATGTCATTAGTAGTCATCTATTTTAAACAAACTAAAACCAATTTTTTTCTTAAATTGTTATTATTCTTATAAGTATAAAAGAGGATGTTTGTATATATATTTGTTTGTTTGTTTGGCAGTGATAAACTCAGACACCGCTGAACCGATTGCCACGAAACTTGGTACATACGTGTAGAATGTCATGGAATAGGTTTATACACCATCAATTTCGTGGTCCGTCCAATCGGCTCCGCCCCAGTGGCTCTGGAGTTTCCCATGTTAACCTTATGAGAAATGGAATTAATGAATCTTAACAGCTGTTTCAATTAAACAAGTTGGTTCTGTTCTATGATGTTCAATAGCATTAAAGTTACAAGGATTACCAACAGGGTGCAGCACTATTATTTCTTTTACATTTATGACATCAGCTAATTTGCTACCAAAAGGTGAGTGAGCGTGGCGAACGAACTTCAACCAGGACGTGATTGAGCCATGCGAACGAGATCATCTTGAAAATTAAGAAGTTAAACGGGTCAAAGCCCGCGGGATTATAAATAGTCAAAGGCAAGACAACGTCTGCCGGGTTCAGCTAGTAATTTATAAATAAAAACCTTTTTTAATACAAAACTTTTTAAACGCACTAAAAAGTAGAAACTAATTTATAAATATGTGGAGAGTATAAATACATTACTTGTAAGATTTAAAACGAAAAACGTGGGGTGCATGCAATAGATAATTTACAATTACCTTCACCTATTAAACTAATGTATTATTATCAATTGCATGCACCCCATGTTTTTCGTTTTAAATCTTACAAGTATTTATACTGTCCACATATTTATAAATTATTTTCTACTTTTTAGTGAGTTTAAAAACGTTTTGTTTTGAAAATAGGTTTTTATTTATAAATTATTTTATACTTTTTAGTTTTTAATGTGTGTCGATGTTAAATATATCTCAAGCATCTATATCAGATTAAGACAGAGGCATGTGGGAAGTCTAAGGTTTATTTGAGTTTCTTTTCATATAATTATGTATTAGATTGAATGTATGCCTACCTACTAACTATAAAATATCAATCTATTCAACTTATTGTTTATTTTATAGAATACTAAATAAATAACAATTGACATTATTTACAAACATTGCAATCAGAATGTTTATCTTTATTTTGAAATGTTTGTTTGTATAAAGAATTTCTTGGGAGCATAACCAGTACCTCTTAACCTCTGCTCTTCGAACTGTCAAATTTAAGTATTTACAGTTGACTTAAATTAATTGATATACAGTATTTACATTCTTTCAAAATGTAAACATAGAAAATTTGGAAGCCCATGGGGCGTAGCCCAAGAGAAATATGAAAGTTAAATGATACAATATTGCATTGTCATCCATTTGTGAGCTATGTTTCAAGTTTCAAGTCTCTAGCTCATCGGGAACTTCGTTGATATACAAATTTGTAGGAAAGCGAGCTAATAAAAACAAGCCCATGGGGCGTAGCCCGAGGGAAATATGAAAATAAAATGATATAATATTGCATTGTCATCCATTTGTGAGCTATGTTTCAAGTTTCAAGTCACTAGCTCGTCGGGAAGTCTCAAAATTTGCAAGAAAGCGAGTTAATAAAAACAAGCCCATGGGGCGTAAGCCCAAGGGAAATGTGAAAATTAAATTATATAATATTGCATTGTCTTCCATTTGTGAGCTATGTTTCAAGTTTCAAGTCTCTAGCTCATCGGGAAGTTAGTATAAAATTGATTGCAAAATTTGTACCGGACAAGAAAGCGAGCTAATAAAAACGTTTTAAAAAAGGGAAACATTTTTACCAATGTAAAAAAAAAACATCGTTCAAATTTATTTCACAATGTTCGATTTGTTTCAGTCACTTCTTCAGCTAATGGCCAGAGGAACTTCACATACAAGTTTCCAAAAATCTCAGCAATCCATGAATTTTCACAACAAATTCCATGTCTACCAAAACGATGAAGAACCTTCAAGTCTTTCGTCAGATCCAGGGTGGCAGACAGAGTCTTGCAAACAGGAATCCCATTCCAATTGCTCTTGCTATATGAACGTAAAAGCAAACACTATGTGCCAAGCAAGGAGATGTGTGAAATCAGTGACCTTTTCTGACCTTCCTAAACACGTACAAACACCAAACTACGTAAACATTGACTTTGCCGAATCACTTAAATATTACGAAAACTGTAAAGATTGTTATAAGAAATTGCTCTGCGAGTTTGACGGTGATCGTGAGCTTAGTTTCAATTCTGAGTGGCTTGATGGCTTTTGTAGGAATTGTTCAATCAGGCAGAATAATTTAAGGCAAATAGGACAATCAAATAGTGTGGATGATACTCGCGGGTACATCAAAATGTCGTCGTTAGCAAACATAACAAAAAGAAATGATGAAACGTTACCCACCAGAGAAACTCCAGTATATGTCAAGTCTTTCTTCAAGTCGAGATCTAAAAGTTCGATTTGTTTACACAGTATATGTAGGCAACCAAAGGATTATAAAATTAGAGCAATTAGTGATCCTGAAATTCACCTTATTCCAAACAGTCTAAAACGTCCGAAAATCTCTCTGTCCAAACTAATAGATTTTATACGAAACCTCCGTCCAGTCACCGCTCAAGAGATCCAAAGACATGCGAGAAAATCGAATTTATCCAACGTCAAAACCCGTTTAGAAGAATCTCAATATCATTCTGATGACACTATATCATCAGATACCATGGTCAACACTGCCAACGACATCAGTGTCAAAGGATCTTTGAATTCTTTGTGCAGTGAAGTTTCGAGGTTCCCAGGAAATAATTTCTTGTCTGTCTCTGAGCTCAATTTATCTTTGTCGTCCGTACCTGGGAAACTTGAAGGTAAAGAATCTGATATGGAAAAGTACAAAGAACACTTAAGAAATCTTCAGCTTCCACACTTCCCGACTGATCTCAACGTTACAAACAGCCCTTGTTTGTCAGCTTTAAGGAGATCTTGCACCGTCAGCTTTAAACCTGGACACAATCGTGATTCTTCAAGCTCCAACGATTCTGGAGTGTCAACCGCTTCCTTGAGGCTCAGAAGAACAGACTTCACCGAGTTTGAAATGCCAATTACCACTTCTCTCTCCGCCAAGCTACTTAGAGAGTACGCACTCAGACAGATGAAAAAGTCCTCCAGTGACTTGAGTCTCCCTAGAAGATCCAAATCGATTGACCCTCTAGGGGAACTGGTGTTTCAGTTTCAAGAATCTTCTAGTTCAGCGAAATCTACATCTGCTCTGCTCACAGTTGTCGATGGAAGAGGTAGGTTGTGCATTTTATAATCAGGTTAATTATTGATGTATTTATGAGGTAATTTTCTATGCCAATTTATTTATTTAACAATTACTGATGTGTCTAAACTCTTGTGATATTACGAGGCTTTACCCGTTGCTACAAGCAATTTATTTATCCGTGTAAGGATAGACGAGCACGTAAATGTACCTAAAACATAGATAACTAACCGGTATTCTATTTTACGTTCATAATAAAGTTACCAATGTAGGGGTAAACAAACAAAGACTTGTTTGGAAGACATTCGTTTTTTTTAAATCTTTTGTTTGAAGAAGCAGTCCTTACAACTCATCTACTTAAGGAAACTCGTCTACTTATTTGGTACATAGCTTAGTATACAGAATTATTGTCTAGGATAAGGAAACATAAAGTTAAAATTTTATCCTACTATATTCTCCTTTTAAGATGATGTATACCAATCATTCCAGAAAAATATAGAAAATGCCTATACTTTGAATTGCTTTCTTGACAAGGAAACCATTTAATTTTGATAATTTGTTGAATTATTTTTCAATAAAAGAGGTTAGCTGCCTCTTTTCAATAAAAGAGGTTAGCTTCCTCTTTTAATCTTGCATTTGCTCGTCCACATAGGCTCTGTGATGCGTGGAACGTATCCAGCAAAGCGAGGGGTGAGCCGTTACAATGCAATGGTGAACTATACTGATAAAAGGTAGCAGCAGTGACCAGGATCCGAACCCACGACATCACTGTTTAAACTTAACTAGTGAACCTGTGGGGCTCAATGCCCCGCAAAAACATATGAGTTTAGAAAACAAATTCATCGTGATATATATTGACTCGACGTCGAAAATTAAATACAGTAATAATAAAGCCTTAGAAGGGAAGCAATCCAGCCATTTTCTAGCTGTATGCATATTATATTAAGTAAATTAATAAGTGTTCAAGTTCAAGTAGGTATGTTACAGGGGAGTTATTCTTTTAAAGATTTTTAAAAACACATTTAACAAAACATTTGATCATATCAAACCAATAGGCCTATGTAGCATATTTTGAGGGTCATAAAATGCTTTTTGAAGAAACACTTTTAAAAATAAACGCTAAAAAACAATAATTTTATCACAAAAGCACTTCCATGAATACCACGATTTTAGTGTTAAAGTTACCTGCAGGAATATTACCCTGGTCAGAATTTTCCGTAATAAATATGCTTATACTACTGTACTATTAAAAGAAGTAGCCTTACTTAAAACAACATATATATATATAGTTGCTCATGACTGAATTGGTCTGGCTAAGAACAGTGCTGCTCTTTAATTAAAGTGATTTAAAGTGATTGTGCTGCAAATGCCAAAGATACAGAAATTAGCATCTTTCCATTTTAAAAGGTAACTTTGTTTCAGACGGGCAATTTGTTATCCTCGAAATCAAAATATGTCCCCACTCACTTGTTCCAGTTAGGACTTCACATTCTGATTTACATTGTTGTTAACCGTTCTGATGACATGAAGCCTTGTGCCATTAATGAGGCCCTTTTTTGATATATTAATATCAATAAAACCACTGCCCCCTTTTATTAGTATAATCTGTGTCTTGGCAATCCACTGACCTCTATACAGTATTTAAAAACTCAGTTGGATTTTCTAGATGGGTGTCTCCGCCTTCGTCTGTTTTCGAAGACCCACTCTTCTTTCCCTTGGCATACGGACAATAAATTACCTAACTTGTAAAGTTCATGTAGTAACTCATTAATACTGTTAGTTTATAAAGAAAATTAGATATTGGCTTGGTGCTTTCATAACTGCAAACTCAAAATACACCCACAAGTAAAAAAGAATCAAGTTATTGGTAAAAAAAACTATGTTTGTGTAAAAACATTATTCACATGAAGTATATGATTTGTTTGATTTCTCGATCAGCTGTTTCGTTTCTAATGAATTAATAATGTCAAATATTTGTGATTTTAAATACATAAATTATTATAGTAAAGTTTTCTAAATCATGGTAACTTAGTATCAACTAAATTTTACTATTCCTAGCATTAAAATAAAGTACCGGTAGTGAGATCCATTATGAGTAAACTTTTTAGGTACACAATCCTTGATTGAAATGTAGTATACATTAACAGTCATAATACACAGCAATTATTATGTAGTAGACTTTGACTATTTTCAAGTAACAAACATATGTTTCTGTAATACAAATTATCTCCCATGTTATCCTTATGGAGAAATACGAAACTTTAAAGGGTCCCAGGGCCTCACTCTCCAATTATTTCCCTAAAAAGAAGATTTCCTGCACAACTTTACGTTACGCTCTTTCCAATGACACCAAAAACATGTCAAATTGTTCAGTAGTTTCGGAGGAGTAATTGTCACAAAAAACCTTCTTGCGTATTAAATAAGTATATTAATATATAGATATAGATATAGATTTCACCTAATTATTTAATTTTATATATTTTAAAATATGTATTTTGTTATTTTACAATATCTTTTATACAAATTATACAAGATATGCACGGCGTACACGAAAAGAAAAGATCTAAAGTAAAGAAAAGATAGAACTTATAAATTTACAAGTGAAAAATAATAAATAATCGTTTGTTGTACAAAGTACAAAAATCCCCAGAACACGATAGTTACACTATGATTATGTAATGTCCACTTTACACATTAAGATAACTTATACTACTCCTGCTGTCACAGAGGGGAAGATACTGAGGTTCATAGACGCACCGAGCACCAGCAGCGGGACATCAGACTTGTCAGACTATATGGACAACTTGTCTATATCATCCTACAGCTCCAACGAGCATACCAGGTACAGACAGCCCTAGTTTTGCTTATTAAAAATTGGATGTACGTTTAAAATATATATGTTACACTCAATCTCCGAATTCGGACATTGTCCGAAATTTCTACTCACTCCGCGATATGGATAGTGTGAAATACCCACGTCGCGGAGTGGGCATTTTATTTCGGACATTGGCCGAAACGAAATGCCCAGACCGCGTTGTGGGTAAACTGATTTATTCAAACGCCGAAGTCAAAACCTTCTTCGACGATTGAGCAAATTCAAAATACCCACAACGCGATGTGAGCAAAAGTGATTGCCCACGTCGGGTAGTGGATATTTCTAGTTTGCGCAAACGCCGAATAGCCTGTATAAGCTACCGTATACCCAAAAATCTACATGAAATCCACAATCACTTGGTAAAATAAATAAAATTTATGTTTTGATTATAATTATTTAATGTATAAAATAGCATTTTAGAAAATAAACAGCAAATCACCGAATAGGAACAAATATAAAAAGGTCCATTACACATACATTGAGCATACGTTTTTCCGCTTTACAAAAATAGGAGTAACCTTAAAACACCGATTATCACACAGTTCTTGTTACATCTTTCTTTTACTTATTGACACATTATTAAGTCACTCTAATTTAGCGAAAGGATTTAAAAATTAAAACTAATCTTACCTGACATCGTGAATTCAATAATGATGGGTTTAACGGCCAGTCCTTTACTTTGAGATTTTTTCTTCAGTGAGCAAGGTTCGAACATATCCAAGTATATTTTAATCACCTCTCTGGTAATGTTGAAAAATTTCTTTTTAAGCTCTACTTCCATAGCTTTCTCTTTCTTAAGACCAACTCGCAAGTGAGCTGAATGAATTGTGTCATACATTTGATCAATGCGACAAAAATATTTTATATCTGTCATTTCACCAGTTGTTTTTAGCGAATTTCCCTATAGGGAAGTAGCTATTACCGTAGGTGGCACGGTAAGACCTAGACCCGGGACCGATTTACTTTTTCATTTTGATGTCCCCAGAGGCCAAAAACACCATTCGTTCAAATTTTTATATATGTATATATATATAGACTTATATATATACATATATATATACGTCCGTGAAAGCGATAACTTGAGTAATTTTTGTCCGATTTTGATGAAATTTGGTTTAAAGGTGTAAAGCGGGATAAACTTGAATGAGTTCGCAAACCAGCATGATCGGACCCTGGGAACGGGGCTTTACGGGGGGTTTTATGGGGTAAAAATTGGGTTTTCTCACTTTTGACCCTCAAAACACAAAATTTCCCAATTTCTCTTTAGACCTTTTTAAAGAGCTTAAAAAAACAATTAATTTAGTATATAAAAGTATTTTTGTCCGGTTATAGTAACTGAGAAAATTAAAAAAATTGTAAATTTAAAATTCCCATGTTATTCTTATTAAGAATATTGTCAAATGTTGTAGTTTGCTTGTTTATGGATATATTTTGTATTTTGATCAAATTTATTTATTTTGTACTAAGCTATCAATATTTTACAAAAAAACACACTTTATTAGCTTCCTTGTAGCAGCAAACCTAGGTACTCGTTAAACCTAATGTTATTAAAATATATTTAATTGAAAATCAATTAAGACAAATGGAAATTCGCTTAGTCGGCAGGTTTGCTGCGGCGGGGGTATTTTAATTGCACGTGCAGGTCCATCCATCCTAATCGCAAATAGTGCAAATGGTGGGGGTGAAATGTCTGAACGTGAATTCGGCGTTTGCCTAAACTAGAAATACCCACAACGCGACGTGGGCAATACATCGTGCTCACATTGCGTTGTGGGTATTTTGGATTTACTCACTCGCCGAAGAACGTTATGACTTCGGCATTTGAGTAAATCAATTTACCCACAACGTGGTCTGGGCATTTCACTTCGGCCAATGTCCGAATAAAATGCTCACTCCGCGACGTGGGTATTTCACACTATCCACATCGCGGAGTGGGTAGAAATTTCGGACATTGTCCGAATTCGGAGATTGAGTGTAACATATATATATATATATATATATATATATATAACACCGAGGGATGCAATTAGTCGTGAGAAATATAATTGTGTCGGTTAATATGCTATGTGCAGCTGTTTAACTGAGTTGTACCAGATAAGGGCACATTATGTTTCCAAAACATCATTTATTTTTCTAATAAAATATTTTCTTTTTTATAACTTTTGTTTTAAATTGGTGCTTAGTCAATAATGGATTATGGTTCGACCCTTTGGACAACTCGGTCCGGTGTAAAAAATAAAAAGTGCCTCTTTGGTAGAGTCAAACTGATCACCTACTGTTAAATTGGCTTTATTCCATAACCAAAACCTCACTGAAATTAACTTTTAGGAAAAAAAAATTTTAAATTGTGTACAAAATTATATTAATTCATGCAAATTGTTATCTCATTGCTGGAAATAGTTATTGGTTCACCTTATTTTGTATGTTGTTCACTAGAACTTCAAGATGTCCTGTCACAACGCTGAAACCACGTTCTGGAAAGGAGTACCACAAAGTCGGCCATCTAAGCCTGCAGCCTACAAAAGAGGTAAACAGAAAAGTACAAATCAATTCTCTCTATTCTATACCGGGGAGCGAGCTGGTCTAGTGGTAGAGCGCGGGACTTCAGTCCCTGAGGTCCCGGATTGAAATCCCTCCAAATCACAAATGGATTTTATCCAAGTGATAATGCCGACACCCTTGGTCTAGCCTGAAGTATTGAGAAAAGCAATCCAAGGCTTTAGCCTAGCGTCTTAGGTAAAAAAAAAAAAAATTACCAATACCAATCAATCAACCTATTCCTGGGCATACTCAGGGCAGTTCAAGATTCGTTCATCTTCTCAAATACTAATTATATTTTAATGAAAATTTTTTAAATATTAAAAATATCCATAAATTATTTACTGAAAGATTGTAACCTAAATTAATGTTTCACAAATTCTCCAAATTGTTGAAGTTTATTTAAAATATTATGTACTGAAATATTGTGAATGCCTGGTCTCTTTTTGGTGAAACTGACTACTTTGTAAAACATAATTGACGGCATAGTACATTTAAAGTAATCTAACAAAATATCACATTTTTATTTTATAACTTCTTAATCAGTATCATTCGTGTTACTAAATGATTACCTAAAAGTACAAAAATACGTCAAATAACATAATATATTTACCCTCATGCTATTTACTAATATGACGATAAATATATATAAAAGATGGTAATTGGTGATCATTTTCGATTGGACACTCCAATCATCATCAAACCCAATAGGCGAATTGTGATTAGTGTAAAATAAATTTATAACATAACAAGTCTTATTGGACGTATTTTGTACTTTCAGATCTATATTTTAAACAGTGTCTATTACATAATTCTTTAAACAATCGACGTGCTGCTATGAATCCCTTTTTTACAAGCTAAAATCATTTTCAGGATGGGTCTTGTAGTTCCCAGGATCAATCGTCCGTGTAGTGGAGAAGAAGAAGAAGACACTGGCTGTGATAGTTTAGGTTAACGAAAAGTCTTACTTATTTTCAACCAGCAATACTTCTTTGGGATGTAATTTATACGATGCAATAATAAAGCAATCTCATTTATTATCTTTAACGATTCTATAAAACCTCTTATATAATAAAATGCATCTTGTAATTTGTAAGCAAATAGAAAAAGAGATTATCCACCTCTACAACATCAAATGGATTCAATTGATATGTCTAAGACGACTGACTAAACCAACAGATTTCATTTGAAAAGAAATGCCTTTTCGTAAAGGTTTAAAGATGAATAGTATTACTCTACAAGTTTTGTCCCTGAAAATCAAAGTTTCGATTTCTAATAGGCCTAAAGATAATCATTTATTTACAATTTATGAAATATGTGCAGATTTAAAACCACTGGTATGGTACTAAAGTTAGTTGAGGTAGCTTTAAAAGTTTAAGATAACAAAGTTTAATTTTAGGTAGCTAAATTAGATTTATCTACATGTTAATTTTATTTATTAAAATCACAATACTCTATCTCAAATCACAATTACCAAGGTATATTTTAATTTATTTTTAATGCCATGTCCGTTTCAATATGTGTTACCATAAATACTTTCTATTATAAATTTGTATTTTTTTTTTTTTTTTTAGAGATGTAGTAACTCTTAATGCTCAACTAAAAAATAAAAATATGAAAAATTGCTTAAAAAAATATATTTATATTAACTTATCAATTTTTAGAAAGGTTTAGTGCTTGAGAATACTTATTAATATTCATATAAATTGTATTGGAAGATTGTATTTTGAAACAACAGTTAAGCTACATCCTAACTATTATATATTTTGATCTCCAACAAACGTATCACATTTTCAAAAACTTTTATATTTTGAATCCAATGAGGCTCGATTTTTTTTGTAGAAAGGTTGTAACGATTATTGTCTCAAATGATTGTATCTGATTACGACTAACTGGAGTGTTAAGACGGTTGTAACATATCAACCGAACATAATATTGGCAACATGTGAGTATGTCAAATGTTATATTGATATGCTTTATATGTTCAATGTCGCCAAAGGTAAGCATCGTCTTGGAGACAATCTTTGTGTGGTTGACACTGACACAATTGTATCCTACAGTGACAATCCTCTAACCTACCCACATTTTAGACGTGCGTTAGACAATCAGAGTGTTACTCAAAGCCATGATGTAAAACATTTTATGAGATATCGCAGGACTTAAAAAGGTCAGTAATACACCAAGAGGTTAATGTTTTACTGAAAATGATACATCAATATTGCCAGTAAGAGCATAAGCAAGGCCAACTACTTCAATAAATGTAAAAATAAAATATCTAAAAGGCTCTACTTGCCCCTTAGGAAGATATAGCGTTGCTCCTGTTCAAATTTTCCTAACTGTCCCTAGTCTATGATTCCTACGTCAATTATGTTAAGTCACAAAAAACCTCTAAAGAAGAGATTGAAAAGTTAAAAAGAATAAATTCACAACTTTAAAGATCGTCACTCTATAGATGAGCAGACATTGCTACAGCGGGAGGTGCCTTATTATAGATAATTTGTTAAAGGTACTAAGACACCTATTCTCTACCCGGATGAGAAACCTTACCCAGTGACTGTGAACAAGAAAGTTCCTTACCCACTAAATAAATAAATCATTTCTATCCCTGGGGAAAAAGATAATAATATTGTAAACAACATTTTTCATTGGCTGTAACTTCACAACAGTTTCAGATGCTATAATAATTGCACACGTTAATTCCTCATTCGAAAACTCCATAACTAAGACCGACTTTCTCCTTTGCTAACCGATTCATTACCGGTGGCGTATTTCTTGCTTCCTCTGTGGCCACCAACAAAATATCTGACTCAGGTTAACCACTTACCGAAAATCTTAATCTAAATCGGCGTGCACTTTGGACCGCCAAGATGTTAAGATGACTGTGGAATAGATTCCCCGCATGGAGAAGTAAGTGTGTCCAGTCAAGGCCCCAAATTATATACACGACTATCATGAACGATTGGAACTGTTGTAAGTTCATCAAAAATATTGCCACCTCATGAGAATTTCAAACACTAAAATACTCATTCATTTCCTAAAGAAAACTGTCTGCGATGACTTTATGTTTGAATCTTGACGAAGATACTTTCACTGTCTGTTGTGATAAAATATAATTAAAAAATGTATTCTAAAACTGATTAAATCGATTTTTTTCTCATATATTTTGTGTATGTACGTTTAGCAAGTAACTCTAATTTATGACAGTATGTGTATACAGTATTTTCCTTAATAGGAAAAGAAATGCTCAAATCAGAAACTTACTAATTTACAGACTGTATATTTTGTAAGTCCGAACACGTACATTGTTTACCAGTGATACATGTTCCCAGTGATTGGCTGGATTTGCCCGAAGCACGTTCTGTCTTGTAGTGCTCAGATCAGCTGATGACAACCATCCCATTAGCGGGTTCTCTCTCACTCTGGATTTATTTTTACTACTGAGGTACCAAAATATTGTTATTTTATTCAATTTTGTGTTTAACAACGGTTATTTAAACCCTGATATTGTAAGTTACAACCTCTGAAATTTTGATACATTAGATTGTTGGTTACTTTTTGTAGTCTGAGGGTAAAACACATTTTAGTGGGAACAACAGTTAAGCCAAATGTTTTTTTTTTTTTATTATTTTACAAATAAAGATACCGATTTACTAAGTTACAAGTAAAAAAGTACTGATTTGTTATCTACTGTAAGCTATAATACAGGGTAGTAATGATAAAATTTTGTTTAAACCTATCTTAGGTATCTCACTAAGACTTCAAGAACATTATGTCTTCAGTTTGTATATGTAACCAACCTACATCTAGCTAAGTTTGAGTTTTTGGATATCCCGTGTTAAAGCACTAGTAAATTTCACAAGTATTTATCGTTAAATATCTAAGTGGTTGCTGTACAGTTCAAATTAGTTTTATTAACCGACTTCCCCACTACCAACAAAAGGAGGAGGTTCTCAATTTGTCTGTGGTGATGTTTTTTTTTTCTATGTATGTTCACCAATTTCTCTGTGATTCTTTTACCGATCAGTGTGGTTCCACCACCAAAATAACCAGGAGAGTTTTTATTTGGTACCTTATATATTATGTTTAAGTATAATATTTGTTTCTGTGAAAAATTCTGAAAACCTTAAATATTCAACATTTATTTTGTTTACATTTGTGCAGATTGTTTACATTTGTGAAGAGAAGGCAATAAATAATGATTAGATTCCTACAGCTGTTAGTTGAAACCATTTAAATGAAGCTACAGACAATTCTTCATGAAACAGTTGCTTCATATTGATCAATAAACTATTTCTTGCCATGGAGCCTAAATGAATTACATTGAGAAAAATGCATTTTGTTTTGGTTACTATAAAAAAATGTATTTTAACGTTTGACCTGATTTGTGTATACAGTAATTCTGTTTATAGTATTGAATATTCTGACTTACAAAAACATATATGTTTCAGTGAATAGCTGTATGATATTGACAAATAAAGGTGTATTGTGAAAACCAAAGCATTCGTAAAACAGGTCTAAATTTAAATCAAATGCAATTATTCCTTACACGTCCTAAGAAGTGTGGCAGTGCATAATCGTCAATTGTCTTAAAAGTGTTAGATATTTTAATTACTAAACATGCATTTGCAGATGTGGAACGTTTATTGATGTTCTCTACCCAGTTACTATATCATATCAATACTATTATGCCTGCTTCGGAAAGTCCTAGAGGAAGATGATTTGCAATTTCGACTAGGCTATATCTTGATCAAACAAAACCACCTACATGGCTTGCACCACTTTTAGCTGAACCAATCTTTCATATACATATTTCATTTGCAGATGTGGAATGTTTATTAATATTCTCTACCCAGTTACTATAACATATCAATACTATAATGCCTGCTTCGGAAAGTCCTAGAGGAAGATGATTTGCAATTTCGACTAGGCTATATCTTGAGCAAACAAAACCCCCTACATGACTTACACCACTTTTAGCTGAACCAATCTTTCATATAATATTTTCCAAAGGTACTATACGAAAGGTACTATGGTGTTAACGACCAATTTTCCACTTTTGAGAGATTTTTTAGTGCTGGTAGCTGAGGAATAACTTTCATATTGTTCCAAAAGGCTTGAGACGTTACTGTATTTCTTTTTATAATGTAGAAGTACACCAATTGCAGGAAACGATGATGTCTGACATTTCAATGTATCTAGAAAAGACAATTAGTTTTTCACTAGGCCTACTGTAATGGACAACTCTTTCTTTCTTAAGGAATATCTAAAGATGTTTATTTTCATACCCATTGATTATGTAACCTGAACAGGTGACTCAAGCAGTTTTAAAATAATGATTGTTCTGTGGAACTTTTGATTGTTTCAAACAGTTTTGCTTATCAAAAATCCTCAAGTAATTAATATATAAAAAATTATACAGTCACTAAAAATCATGAAATAATTTGTTTTTGTAAAAAAATACAACCGACTTCAAACGTTCTAAAAAGAATGAAATAATTTCAATAAAGTAAACTTTTGTATTAGGCAAGGTCACGTATTTCAAGTCGGCGCGGCTCAAACTGCAAATATGATTGAAATCAAATATTGTGTGTGTATTTTGAAAATCAATAAATTTTAGCTGGATAACATAAATAGATAAAAAACATACTGAGCTGTTTTATTTATATATTAAAGGAAATATTTTCTTGTATTTTATGTTTAGGCCTACTTCAGAATAAATGCATTATGAAAATAACACACACAAATGTTCTATATGAATAGGAAAATAATTTAGTTTGATATGGAAAGGTTTGATAGGGAAAGAAGCTAGTTTAGTATTAAAACGTTACTTTTCCAGGTTAGAAACATTTAAATGCGTTATAATCTTTTTAAAGATACTCGTTAATACCACTATAATGCCGATCTCTGATTACGGTAATAATATAACACTTAACGCATACTATGAAAAAGACACGCAGATTAACAACTTTAGTTATAGATAGTCACCGGCAATATGGACACCCTCTTTCAATTTTGTATCAAAAATCATCATAGAGTCGCGCCGACTTAAAATACGTGAGCTTGCCTAATACAAAAGTTTACTTTATTGAAATTATTTCATTCTTTTTAGAGCGTTTGAAGTCGGTTGTATTTTTTTACAAAAATAAATTATGATGGGTTAGCCTCTGGATCGAAAATTGCAATATAAAATGGTTTAGGTTACCTTTTGCGTCGAACGATCCTTGATGTAGTAAATGATAACTACAGCTGTTTCATGCCGCTGGGGCACATCTTCAGGTTGTAGAGCGTCAAGATAAAGCTATTTTATCTTGACGCTCTACAACCTGAAGATGTGACCCAGCGGCATGAAACAGCTGTAGATATCATTTACTACATCAAGGATCATTCGACGCAAAAGGTAACCTAAACCATTTTATATTTCAAATTAGTTTGAACCTTAACCATTAAAAAATCTCAAATTACTAAAATTTCAGCATTACAAACTGGCTTGGAATAATCATCGTACACATACGAGACATTTAAGTTTTATTTTAAATGGAAATTAAAAATATATGTACACTATTTACAGTTGGATACTAACATTATAAAGGAAATATTTAAACTTTAACAATTACACTGTATTAGACAAAGTAGAAGATTCCGTAGTCTCCTCAACATATTTAGTACTTGGATTATCGGTAACCAATGTAATATTATTTCCACTTAAACCTCCAACAGTTTGTTTGTGGACAACCGTATTATTAGTGATAGTGATCTTTGTTCTGGTTCCATTTATGACGCTCTCACTAACGCTGGAAGATGAAGAATTTGAACTGTCTTTGATTCCGTTGCCTGATGAAGACACCTCATTCTTTTCGTCATTTACGGAATTTTGTGTGGAACTTTCTTGGACCCAGGCTCCTTCGCCTTCTTGGATCGCTTCCCCGCCGGACCCTGGGTACGGGGTGTCGCAGGTTGGGAGCCACAACCTCGTCAGCTCGTCCAGCTCCTCCTTGGCCGATTGTACTGTGATGTAGACAATCTCCTGAAGTGCCCTCAGTATCCCCTGCAGAGTCTCTTGGTAGTCAGGTACTTGGTAGTCATAAGGAGCCTCTGTAGGCTGGTAGCAGTCCGGCTCGGGGAAGAAGAATGGCGAACAGTTTGTCTGGAAGTAAAAAGACATTGTATTATATTACCAATAGAGAAGGGGTGCCACCTAGGTGTGTATTTTAACACAAATATAAATGAATTGTGAGTGCAGAATGAAGTGAGATGTCTTTTGTACTGACTGAGCCGTGACTTGTCCACCAAGCGTCCCACCAATGTCACGCCTCAGTGTTTTTTGTATAGTGCGAGTGCTGGCCTTGCGCCGGAACTCGTTCAGTTTGGGTCTGGCAGCAGTCCTGCAGACCCCGGGGCTATTTTTCCGCTGCCGAGCACATTTTCGGCAGAAGAACAGCGACTGTCATCGTTTCATGTCAAGTTTGGTGTTTGTAATGTTATATTTGCATCGGTTAACATCTTGTCACTTTTTTTACTGTGCTTCTTTCAAACCAAATTCTTTTGACATGTAATTAAACGGTTTGCCAGTCGTCAGATGAGTAAGTTGATTGATATTTTGATTTGTTTAGGTTAGAAAGTTTCTGAATTAGTTTTGGCTTTCAGCCACATGTTGTGCAGGCTTTGAGTGGGTTTTGGCTAGTGAAAAACAAGTATTAAGCACCTTCTGTGCATTGGCATTACTCTTAATTACCAATTACTTGTTTTTCAAGGCGCTAGACCCATTTCTGAGGCTGGAATTGAACAGAGTTTTGTTGGGCCTTTGGCCAAGCTTTGTGTGGTCAGACCACAAGTTTTTCTGGTTAGTTTAGTAGTTTTTGTTGTTGTCAAGTTTTCAAAGCTTTCCCCGAGACTCTAGGCCAGATATTACCCAAGAAAACTCACTTTGAAACTCACTTTTGTGCGGGCTAGGGTCCGTTTGTTCTGTGTCCCTGTTAACTTGTTATTAGGCCTAAGGCCTAGTTTGTGCTCAATTTTGTTTTGTTATTGTGGCCTACAACTTATTTAATGTAAATTTTGTCCCTTTGTCCCCTGTAATAGTGTTTTTTTGTTATTTGTAATGTAGGCCATGTCACTCAGCCTAATTATTTTTTAGTTAAGTAATGGCGCCTCCTGGGGGCCAAGCTCGGTCATAATTAGTTAGTATTAGTGCTCTTACTTGTCCCCTGCAATTTTCATTAAGTTTGGATAATAAATGACCGAGTTATTTAAGTTTTAGTTTAGCGCATTTCTGTTTGCTGAGTGACCGTAGGTAACTGACCCCCTACCTAGCCTCAGGCTAGTTGGTAGGCATGGGTTTGTCTTTTAAAAGCTGCGGGCACCTGTGCCACAGCTTTTAAAAGCAATTTGAGCAGATTTGGTTGGTAATAACCGGAGTTATTACCGGTTTTACCCAAAAATGCACCTCCAGCCAAAGAATTTTTAAAATTTTGTGAGAACTGTTTTTTGAAGTGTTTATTGTAGTATTTATGTAATTGTTTTGTGTTTGATTAGTGTATATTACCCTTCTGGACCCTAAATTCATATTTTTTATTGTCAACTTCAATTTTTATGAAAAATGTCTGTAAGAATGTGTTGTTAAAGTTAGTAATATTTAAAAGTCTATTTATTGTTATGTTTTTAGAGCTCTATTGAACTGAACTAAATTATTTCTAGTCATTTTACATTTTCTAATTTTAAAGACTGTTTTAAATAAAGGAAAACCTATTAAAAGAAAAATATTTTTAATAAAAATCTCATTTGTAATAGTTTTGGTCAGTGAACGAGTGGTGCGGAAATTGTTTTTGGAATTTTTCTTGAAAAGCTTGGTAGGCCTAATGTTCTCAAGTTTATATGGACTTTTATTAGTTAGGCCTGGAATGTGTTCAAAGGGTCCCAGATGTGAGGCTTCACCTGCCGCTGTCCTCGGAGAGGTTCGCCCGGAGGGGCACTACATCTTCTACCTCCTTGGGCTGCCAACGGCCCAGCATCTCCGGGGACCACTATGCCTCCATCTTCCAGTATGGACCACTAAGCCACCCACCGCCTGCCACCGTCAAGGAATCTTGTGCCACTTTTCCGCAAGTTATAGGCCTACTATAGAATATCTAAATTATGAACATTTTTTAAAGGACTGTTTTTTAAGGGGCCCCAAAATGATTGATTATCCATTCTAGTATTTCATAGGAACTGTTATTTATTTGATTGTTATTTATTTTTATAGTATCCAAATTTTTATTTATTGCTTGTTAATTTATTTAAAGTTTAATATAACCGTACAATCCTATTTAATTATTGTTAGGCCTAACATCCACAGTTACCACTAAATTTGTAAGTTCAGGAGGGTAAAGTTTTGAGAAAGCTTAAAGTATTTAAATATTTTTGATAAAATAATTCTTTGGATGGCTGCTTTGTTGTTTATTGTTGATTTTGATTAATTATAGGCTTGTTGACAACTGTTTGTTTTTTTATATTCACCCACGGCCTTTCATTTTGTTAGGGATGTGGGGCGGCCACTCGCACTGTCACTATGGGGGGCATGCTTCCAATAGTTGTTCGTCTGGGGGCGGTGCGAGGGGTCGGCTCAGATGGTAGCAGAGCGTGGTTTTTTGGTTGGGTCCTGGGTGCCTTGTCGTGAAACTTCGGTTTCGCGACTTGGATACTTAGAGATCCGATCACTGTCCACGTTCTGATTTGTTTGAAGGGCCGTGGATGGATTTGATTTTTGGGTGATGCTGGTCTGGCAGTCTTAGGAATTTTTTGAAGAAAAGTTGTTGTGGTGGGGTAAGCACACTGTTGTACTTTCTATTAGGAGCTCGCCCTTGGCCGAGTCACCGGGTGGAATCTGGTTAATGACTTGTATCCTTTGGGAGCAAGAGTGTCAAAAGCATGGCCAAACCCAAAATTGAAACTGTGTGTGTGTGTTTACCTCATCACACAAATGTTAGGTGTTGTCGTTTAGTGTATGTATGTATGTGTGTATGTGGTGAGTGTAAGTCCGTGTTTTTGTTTTGGTGGCTTAGGCGGTGTGTATGGGCAGGTTCTTCTGTTTGGGACCTCATCTGACTGTAGGCATTTCAGTCCAGAGTCTTTAGTTAGTTAATTTTGTGAATTGTCCGTTGTAAAATTTTTTGTGTGTGTTTTTAAGGTAAGTAGGTCGACTGACTGAGAGCAAAATGGGTTTGTTTGCTCCACTGCCCAATCCCATTGCTGGGGTTTTGAGCGACATTCGCCCAGTTGATGGTTTAGAGGTGGAACCTTTGTTAGAGTTTTTGGGAAAGGTGTTGCACCTGAAGGAGTTCCCAGGCATGGAGGACTCAGTAGTGTTGGAACTGCTGGTTCCACTCTGCCTGAGACCTCTTGGTGACAAATTGTTAGACTGTTTGAAACGGGGAGTAAATTTTGACAATTTTCACAGTGAAGTGCTTGAGCTCTTTGTCCCCTTCAGGGTCATGGAGAGATTGAAGGTTGAGAGAGTTTTTCGACCTCAAAAATTTGACGAAACTCTCAGTCAGTATGTGGGTGACATTCGTGGCGTGTGGCGTGTCCTACGGCTGGGCATCCCTGAAAACCAACTGGTGGACATTGTCTTGCAGGGGTTGAAGCCTGAGGAGCGGTCCAGACTGATTTTTGCTCCGAAGCCTTCTTCTTTTGCAGACCTGGACAGGCTAGTCATCCTTTCACGGAGCGTTCAAGACGCTGATTGTCAAAGGGAGCACGTTACGGGGCATCTTCCCCGGACTGGTCCCCATCCCGCTGTAGCATCCGTGTGTCGAGGTCCTGAAACACCGCAGAGACAGAGGCATCCTATCGTTTGCTTTGGCTGTGGTCAAACAGGTCACATGAGACGAGAGTGTCGTCAGAGGGTTAATCTTGGGACTTTGTCCAAAACCCTGAGTAGCTCACAAGGGGAAAGTTTGCCTAAACCGCCCTGTGAGAAAGCTGTTTTGGAGAAAGTCAGTAAGAATTTTGTTTCTGTGAGTACTGCCCCTTCTGGGAGTGCTGGTTTTGGGGATCCTCTGTCGCGGGGAATGAGGGAGCTTGCATGCATGGGAGTGAAAGCGGCGCGCTCAACTTGCCCACGACTCAACATCTTCTTTGGTAAAACGGTGCAGAAGGCCCTTGTGGATTCTGGGTCAGCCCGTTGTCTCATTTCCTTGTCCCTGTTTGAAAACCTAAAATCTTCTGGGCTAATCAAGCAAGTTGAGCGAAGTACCCACATCTGCTGGACTGCATCGAAATCCTCACTTCCAATCATCTATGAAGCCCGTTTGAAATTCAAGATTGAACATTTTTCTTGGGTTTGGAGTTTTTGGGTAGCCAAGGACCTTTGCATTCCTGTCATTTTGGGAGCGGATTTCATTAAGCATTGTGGCCTGATTTTGGATTTAGGCCGAGGCCAGTGCTTCTTTCGTTTCGCAAGACGGGTGCTCATTCCTTTCACGGATGAAATTGTGGATGGTGCAGCTGTGGTCGAGCCTGAGACACCCAGCAAACCAAAAGTTGATCCTTTAGGGCATCTGACTCCTGGTGAGGCTGAAGCAATCAGAACATTGTGTTCTCGTTTTCCTGAGGTGCTGACGCCAAAGCTTGGAGTCACAAATCTTTTGGAGTACGAAATCCGTTTGACTGACACCCGTCCAGTTCGTTCCCATCCTTACAAACTTGCTCCACCCAAGATGGAAACACTCCGTGGAATCATCAATGAGCTTCTTGAAAATGGGGTAATTGAGCCTTCTCGCTCAAGTTACGCTAGTCCAGCTTTTCTAGTTCCAAAGCCAAATGGCAAGTCTCGAATGGTTCTAGATTATCGCAAGTTGAATGCTCAGATTGAAATTGACTCTGTCCCTCTCCCTGATTTGCACTCTGCGTTCGATTGGTTCGGTAAGGCCAAGTATTTTTCCGTCTTTGATTTGAACCAGGCTTACCATCAGATTCCCTTGAAACCTGAATCTCGACCTCTCACTGCCTTCTGCGTTCCGTGGAACTTGTACCAGTTCACACGTGTACCCATGGGCCTAGCTGTGGGGGCCCAGACCCTCACCAGACTTCTGGACTCCATCTTCCATGACGTCAAGTTCAAATTTGTGTTCAACTATCTTGACGATCTTTTGGTGTACAGTGAGA